CTCAAAAGCCTCATTCCCCCTGCCTCTCTCAAAAGACTCAGTTCACCTGCCTCTCTCTAAAGACTCAGTTCACCTGCCTCTCTCTAAAGACTCAGTTCACCTGCCTCTCTCTAAAGACTCAGTTCACCTGCCTCTCTAAAGACTCAGTTCACCTGCCTCTCTCTAACAGACGTGAAACTTGTGTTTCTTTCCCTCCAGCCGGGGGAGAAGGTCAGCTCCATCAGTGACAAGCAGCTGCAGTGGGCCGATGGGATGATCTTGGTCTACAACATCTGTGACCGCAGCAGCTTCTCCTGCGTCCTCCAGCTGCTGCAGCTGATCCGCCGCCGCAGCAGGAAGCCGTCGCCCGTCCCCGTCGTCATCGTGGGCAACAAACGGGACCTGCGGGACCACCGGCGGGTCTCGGGCGAGGAGGGCCGGCTGCTGGCTCTGACGGAGCGCTGTGGCTTCTTCGAGGTGTCGGCGGCTGAGACGTACCACGGTGTCCTGCTGGTCTTTCACCGCCTGGCAGACCTGGTCAGGGAGGGCCGGGCTCTGAGGAAGAGCGGGGCCAGGGTCCGAGGCATCGTCAGGACCGTGTCGGCCGTGTTCGGCAGGAAACGAGCCGAGTAGGACCGACACTCAGAACCAGATTCACTGATTCTGATCAGAGGAAGGACTTGCTGTCAGACTCCTGAGGGACGTTCAGACCAGATGAAGAAGGATGAAGCTGGTAAAGAAAGGTTGTGATGAAGAGTTTAGATTCACAGAGACGTGAATCAGAAGAATCAGAGTTAGTTTGGTTCCTGGTCCTCAGAAGAACCTCCTGTCTGTTCGTCTGAGACCAGTTAGACAAACTGGTCCTCAGAAGATCATCCCTCTAGTCTTCATCACTTTACTGATGAAGCATGCTGACCGTAGTCTTCATCACTCTGACTCAGGTTTATGGTTAGATGGTTAGAAACGCTGCAGCTGAGTGATGCAGAGGATGAACAGCTGTGACACTTTAATAATTTGCAGTTTGCACTTTTTTGTAGATTTATGTTTTATTTTGCTCAATCTTTCTGTGAGCATTTATAAATAATCAGTTTCTTGGTGGAACAGCTGCATCAGCTGAATCTTTAGGTTCTTAAAGAACCAAACATCAAAGTCTGTTTTTATTAATCGAGAATGAAGGAAAATAAAATGTTTCATCTTTTTATTTCCATGTTGTAAATATTTCCTCCAACTGTTCTGTTTTGGTAAATAAAATAAAAACCTGCAGAAACGTGGAGTTTTGTTCAAATAGTTGAGAATATAACTAATAATCTGTTTCTTTGTGTCTTTTTCTGTAACCAACTGAAAAGATGTTTTTCTAAATGTAAAGCAGAATAAAAGTCTGTTTTTGAATATTTAAAGAGGCTTTATTTCATCACTTGAGTTAAACACGTTAACTTTACACAGATGGTGTTGGAGATATAAAGCAGTGAAAATGATAATAAATTATATTTTAAAATAACCAATCAGTTTAGTTAAACTTCCTCTCAATTTTCAAACCAGAGCTCCGTGACTCAACTCCTCCCTCAGCTGGAATTCTACTTCCTGTTTCTAAATCAGGCCATCTGATGCATTTCTGAGATTAAGGCGTCCCACAGGGTCGTGTACTCAGCCCATTTCCGTTACTCTGACCCAGTGATGGGGAAAAAAACGACTAAATGAACTACACAGAAACAAACTTGAAATAAGTCAATTTTGTTTTTTGACACTAAAGTTTGGCTTAGCTATATTGTGTGTTTTTTTTTTGTTATAAATTGGATGCAATGTGACTTTTATTCTAATGTTCTGTGGTCAGAATTATGATGGAAATTGAGCTATTTTTGCAAAACTCCCCTTCAAATCTTTTTATTGAGCCTACGAGTACCTATAATTCTACGGAGCCCGGAAGGAGACATGGGGGGAAAAAACAGATCCTGACTTTCTTTCTCAGGATCCCAAGAACGAAAGTCAGGATCCTGAGAAAAAAGGTCAGAATCCGGATCCTGAATTTTTTCTCGGGATCTTGAGAAACGTTTTCAGGATACCAACTTTTTTCTCAGGATCCTGAGAACGAAAGTCGGGATCCTGAGAAAAAAAAGTTGGGATGCTAAAAACGTTTCTCGGGATCTTGGGAAACGTTTTCAGGAACCCGACTTACTTTACCGGATCCTTCCCCCCCCCCATGTCCCCTTATGGTCTCCATACAGTTCCCCTCTTTATGAAAGCCTTTGCTCAGTGAATCAGAATTCCAGCCTCGGTGATTTTTCAGCAACGCTTCGTCTCAGAGCAGAAACCAGGTGTTGATCGGAGGGGGGGTCAAGGTGCAGGAAGTGCAGCGCGGCGTTTAGAAGTCGTCTGTTTTCACAGCGATGGCGAGGCTGTCGGCAGAGTTGGGGCTCAGGTACTCGAAGGCCTTCTGGCTCTGGGAGATGAACTGTTTGAGTGGTGTGAGCAGCAGCTCGGTGGCAGACGGGCGTCGCAGGGTGTCGCCCTCAGGCGGGGGGACCTGGTTGTCCACCTCGGGGTTGGAGGAATCCTTCAGGCTGGAGCGGCGTTTGTTAGAGGGGTCCGGGCTCTGAGGACCTCCGGAGCCCCGACTGGCTCGAGAGTAGAGGCTGCGGCGGCGGCGAGGGCGACCGTCCATCGCCTTCAAGAAGAGGCTGTTGGCGGAGCCCCGGCGGGACGAGCTGTCTGACACCAGGTCCTCCTGGTTCAGGAAGTCCTCCACCTGCTGAGGCGACGGCTGCTCCAGCTGAAACACACAACACGAGTCGTGAAGGGTAGTGGTGACATCATCTCACTACGTAATGGGACAGCCCTGCAGAAACACCTTTAGTGTTTGTTCTGTAAATGTGTCGGCCATGTTGCCCCGCCCTCTCTGGACCCACCATGTCGTAGAGCGGCGTGGTGTTGACCACCAGCTGCAGGAGGATCTTGGAGAGTTCTTGCAGGTCCCGGAGCACCTGCTGAATCTGGGCCGGCAGCTCTCGGATCTGCTGAACCGGTCTCAGCTGGGCCAGCGTCGTGGCTCGGTCCATGATCCCCCGCAGGGCGGCCCCCCTGAAACTCTCTGCTCGGAACAACAGCGCCACCACCAGGTTCTGCAGGTACTGCAGCAGCTCCCCGGTCAGACCCAGGACCCGGGTCAGACCCACCTACAGGCAGACAGCTCAGGTGAGTCTTTTCTCACAGTTTTACACAACCTGCTGGTTTTAAAACATATTTAAACTTTATACACTCACCGGCCACTTTATTAGGAACACCTGTCCAACTGTTCGTTAACACTTAATTTCTAATCAGCCAATCACATGGCGGCAACTCAGTGCATTTAGGCATGTAGACATGGTCAAGACAATCTCCTGCAGTTCAAAC